CCCTGAAGGCAGGGCTCAGCCTTTCTTATCACTCCTGTCTCCTCAGAGCTCAAGAGGGGATTCCTGCACAGGCAGGCAGACCCAACGGGAAGACTCCTCTGGCTGGAGACACTCAGCTTAAATGTTTCCATTTTACCACAGCCAGTGCTTCCCTGTGTCTCTAGAATGGGGTTCTGGGAAGTGGAGACCCCCAGTCCTCCCCACGGGGTTGGGATAGATGCAGTGTCTTTTCTTCCCCTGTGCTGGCAGATGCCTCAGTACAGATGGGCCCAGCCATTCCCACCAGGACATGGTGGGAGCCTGCGTTCAAGGAGGCCGAGGACGAGCCGGGCTGGGCTTAGCGATTCCGCAGGAGGAAAATGGACCTGGTTCAGGAGAAGGCAGCAGGACCCTCCTTTGCAGCGAGGACCACAGGACTGAGGACCACAAGGACCAGAGGGACAGGTAAGAGGAGTTGCCAGAGTAGGGCAGATGGAATGAGCGGAGGGAGGAGGCAGAGACAGGATCTGGGGAGAAGGGAAGGAGGAGGATGGAGAGGGAAGAGAGAGAGAGAACGGGAGGAAGAGAGCCAGAGAAGGAAGAGAGAGAGGGAGAGATGCATACATAGAAAACAAGAGAGAAATGGAGAAAGATATAGAAAGAGACAGAGAGAAACTACACCCAGAGACAGAACCGCACACACAAAAAGAAACAGAGACAGAGGCAGAGAGACACGCGCACACAGAGATGAGCTCTGAGGAGTCTGTGTAGGATGTTGGAGGTGGGAGGAGATGGAATATAGTGTCCACCTCTGACCTGACCACTGCTGGGCTAATGCATTTCCCTCGTCCCTGCAGACAGGGAGACTGAGGCCCAGGAAGGGGATGGACCTGCCTCCGGTTATGCTGTGTATGGACATTATGATAGCTTTGGGTGGCCCAGGATTTGACCCTGCTTCCCATATGGACTTGGGGAAACCTGCGGGGAGGCAGAGGCCGCCTCCTGACATAAAGCCGAAATGCCAGGTCGTCACCTTCCAGGCTCCCCTGTAGCCAGAGCTGGAGTGTGTGACCTGGAGCTCCACACACTCCCCCACCCCATCAGAGGCACCTGCCCAGAGAGAAATAGTGAGCTGGGGGCCCACAAAGTGGAGGTGGGGAGAAAGCCTCCCAGGGGGCCACTGCAGGAAGCTTAAGACCCCAGGACAGTAGTGGCAGCAGGGCTGCCTACTCAGGAAGCGTGGGGTTCCCTCACTGGGCCAGCTCCGCCCTGAGTTTTGGCTGGGGGCTCCAAATCTGGTTCTTCAGCCTCCCCCAGTGATTCCATAAGCTCCCCGAAATCCTTTCAACAAATCCCTTTTCTGTTTAACGCAGCAGAGTTGCTTTCTGAGAGGCAGCAGAGCATGGGTTAGAATCCTTGTTCTGTTACAAGCTGCGTGACTTTGGGAAAGTCACTTAACTTCTCTGTGGGGTCAAATGACAGTACGGACGCATGGAACCTGAACCACTGAAGTGGCAGCATGGGTGGTGGGGAGGATCCTGCAGGGACTTGGACACATGAACACTTAACTTGGTTGTGCCTCAGACTAGCAGGTGTGACCATAGACAAGTCCCTTCCCGTCCCTTGGCCATTGCTGTATCTGGAAATAGTTTCTGGGTGAGAATAATCAAGCTTCTGACCCAGCCTCCCACACTTGCTACCTGTAGCTGTTAGCTAACCACACATCGAGAATGCCTTGTCTCCAGCCCAAGGTGCAATCCTGGGCTTTTCCCTACCCAGCCAACTGTGTCCTGGACAGCTCTACTCAGATGTCCCTCCAGCAACTCAGAGTCAACATATCCTCACCTGTGCTCAGCAATTTCCGGGTGTCATCCCTGACTCCTCCCCCTTCCCCACCCCACCCCAGTCTTGTCAGTTACAGGCGCCCAGGGTCTCTTGCATCTATCCCCTCCTCTGCTCCTACAGCCTCCACTCTACCTATCGAACACGACCACAGACCACTGGACTCCCGGGACCAGCTGCAATAGCCTCCTAACCTCTCTTCTCTCCTCCAGAGACTCTGTGCCCCAAAAGTGAGCTCCTTTGCTCACAAGCTCCCCCAGGCTCCCTCCTACTCTGCACCGACAGAAAAGTCTCTGCAATGCCGGGCACCGTCTGACCAACATCCATCCGTCTGGTCTCATCTATTTCTTTCTCCTACTACCTGTGCTCCATACAACATTCACCAGTCCCCAGGCACAAAGCACGGTCCCCTCCCCTCCTCTATACCTATTACTTTCACCTGCTAAAATCCCACCTGTTCCCAGAAGTCCAGCTCAGAGGGCTAAGCCCACCCTGATCCTCCTGGGTGGAGACATGAGTCTTTTTCTGTCCCTCTAAGCTCTCCTCACAGAGAGCAGAGGAATGAATGACTTCCTTGCTCCTTCCCTGTCCTGAGATTTTAAAACTGTATTTTTAGGATCCTGTGAGCTGGTACGGGGGGGCAGGGTGCAGTGGAGATCAGGGTCCCTGACTCTGCCTGGGCCTGGAGACTAAGGGCTAAGTGAGGTGACAAAGCCTCTCAGCTCCACAGCAGGTGGACCTGAGGGAGTTCTGCTCTGGTTCTACCCCAGCCTGGGCTGTCTCTTGTTCTCCCCAACCAGCCTGGAGCTCCCCAAGGACAGAGCCTGGGCCTCTTCTTCATGGCAGAGTTGAGCACAATATTTATTCAATCAATTTATTAAACACCTACCAGGTGTCAGCCCCTGCACTGGCACTGAGGCCCTCACTCACAACTGCAACAGAAGAAAGGAATCCTGAGTGATAAATGCCCTGACAGGGGAGGCAAGGGGGCTGTGGAGGGTGAGAGCCTGGCGGGGGGGAAAGGGGGGGAGGCAAGGACAACTTCCCAAGGAGCACGTCCCAGACCACTCACATCACGTCAAATGAGAAGCTGAAAAAAAAGTCAGAGCGCCACTGAGGCTGGCAAATGTGCCAATTAGCCCCTGGTATCTAATGAACAATTTTCTTCATTTGGACTAAAGTGCTGCCCATACTGTAGCTGCTGGGAAGGGAGGCCGCGGGGAGCGTTGCCGTTACCCAGCGCGGCCGCTGAGGTGGGAAGAGCAGAGGCAGCTAATGGCAATGGAAATCAGTGATTGATTTCACTCCTCCCCTGCCGCCTCACCGCTGCTTCCTCCTGCTCTGCCTTTTCAGTGGGATCCTTCCTTTAGAAAAAAGAACGCAGAGAAGAAAACGGCTCCTGTGAGAAGCCTGGGAGAGAGGAGGAAGGGTCCTGGCTCCCCTTCCTGCCCAGTGTTCTTATGTACAGCCAACCCCCCCCACTGAAGCCCTGTTCTTTAAAAGGCAGGCGCTGCCCAGGTGGGAGAGCAGCTGAGGCTGTTAGTCCCCGCGAACTTCCCTCCACTCCGCTGAGCACAAAGAATCAGCCACAAAGCTACCAAGTGTGGATCATTTTCTAGGTGCCAGCTACCACCCAGAGAGCTTTGCATACATGGTCCCACTCATCCCCATCTCCCTAAGGCCCCCTGAGAGATGTACTTCTTTTTTGCCCATATTGCAGACCAGAAAACTGAGGCTCAGAGACATGAAGTAACTTTTCAAGGTTGTAATCAGCTCCTATGCAACAGTGCAGGCAGGGGAATCCACAGCCCTCACTCTTGGCTACAGGGCAGTACTGCCTTCCTGACAGGGAGGTCTGTTTTAATCATGGATAGTCAGCGTGTCCTCAGATGATGCAGAAATCTTCCTCCACAGCCCCACTACCTCCACCTCTACCACCTCCTTCTATGAGGAGCACCTCTGCCGTTGGACTTCTCAGAGCACGGCTGCTCCCTGAGCCCACCAGAGCCTTCCGCTGGTACAGACAGGGGAGGGCCACTGGGCATCAGATGCAGGCGCCGCCTTGCTCTCTAACTCTGCCTTAGCCTCTGAGAGCTTGGACAGGCACATGTATGTGTGCGTGTGTGTGTGTGAGGTGACGGGGAGCTGTGCCACTATTCAGACAGACATTCAGAGAAAGGTTGCTGAGATGTTTCCAGGATGAGGGGCCTCAGACAAACAGCCCTCCACCCCTCAGCAGAGAGGAGGCTCTCTGCTGGTGGGGTGGGGCTGGAGATCGTTCAGGGTGGGCCAGCGATTGCTGCGGTCACACAGCCTCACAGGACACTCCCACCTGGCTCCCATCGGACATTCCACATGGCACAGATTTAGGCACCTGGGCACCCCAGAACCAGAGCTCATACCCAACAACCCCACCTGGACGCTGTGACTCCAGCAGCCTCTGCCGCTGTCTTCCCCAGAGTGTCAAGCCAGACAGACAGCTCAGGCCAGGAGGAAGGAGGGCATTGGCTGTTTCTCCCTGGGAGGTGGGGGGTGGTCCTGATTCAGACACTGCGCATTACCTGGGGCCCGGGAGTAACGCTGCCCACGTGCCCTGACTCACAGCCCAGAGGGCCAGTCTGGGGACATCCGGGTAGGAAAAGGCGACACTCCACACTCTGGCCCTGCAGCTCTATGCTCTGCATGCCCCACCCCTCGAACACAAGCTCTCACCCCATCTTTCCTGTCTCCTGCCCTCCTTTCTGGTAGTAAAGAGTCTGATCACCGCACCCACCCTAGGGGTTGGGAACTTAGTGTATGCGTCCCCCTTGGGTGGGGCGCTGGCTAAACAAAGAGAAGACGCCCTAATGGGGAAACTTTAGGCACCCAGAGCAAACAATGTGGGTAAAAGGTTTGCCCTCAAAAAGAAGGAAGTATTTCCTTCTCCCCTTTCTGGGCTCTCGCCGTATGAAACACGGGAATCGTGGGCGAATCACTGCCCTACTGAGGTCCGGAGCTACAGTGGGGTAAAGGCAGAGGCAGCGCCCCCAACATTACAAGGGGTCTTGAACGCCTGCGGCAGGACGATGCCGCGGCCCTCAACCAGTCTCCGACGCTGGTCCGGAGCCCTCCCCCTTCCCTTAACCGTCCTCCTGGGAGGCAGGCGCAGAGCCCGCGGCGGAGGGTCCGGGGGCACTCACGGGTCGTGTTGTACTTGACGCCGTTGAAATACTCGGGGCACGGCCTCTCCACCAGGGCTCCGGCCGCGCTCCGAGGCCAGCACGTCCCGATCTGGTCCAAAGTCGTGTTGCAGTAGGAGTAGGGACCTGGCGACGGGAGAGAGCGGAGCGGAGCTCAGAGAGGTCGCCCGGCGCGCGGGGCGCTCGGAGCGCAGGGTCCCGGGCGCACTCAGCGCGCCAGGGAAGGAACCTGCGCCGCCTGGGTCCGCTCTCCTCCCGCCTACCCTCGGGGTCTAGTGGCAGCCCCCAGCCATCCAAGAGCAGCTCTTCGGCCAGCGCCAGGCTGCAGTTGGCTTCCAGCAGGCTGTGGAGCAGTGCCGCGTCCATCGCGCCCCGGAGCTGCGCGCCGAGAGGAAGTGTGAGTGCGCGCCCGGCGTGGCTGCAGGGACTGGGTACGAGAGTGAGCGGCCGAAGGAGCGAGGTGTCCTGGCCCCTGCCCGCCCAGCCCCGACCTGCCGGGCAGCCTTCGAGCGCTGCGCCCGATCGCCGAGAGCTGCCAAGTTGGGACCTTCCCGGAGAGGAGCTGCGCGGCGCACGGAGCGGCGGGTCCTCCAGCTCGGCGGCGGCCAATGGCGGCGCCAGGGGGCGGGGCCGGGCGGCTCCTCTCCGCCGGGTCCAGCCTCCAGCCCCCGGTCCCTCTGCCCTGCCTGGAGTCCGCCTTCGCCGGCCCTGGCAAGGTCCGAAGGAGGGCGGCGGGGATGGAGAGCTTGGGCCTGAGGTGGCGGAATGCCCCGTGCGAGGATATCAAGCCCCGGGGCTGCAGGTGGTAGCAACGTGCGCCCGCGTTCCCGCCGGAGGAACCCACTGCAGCCTCTCTAACCGACAGCCAGAACTGGCAGCTCGCAGCCTGAGTTTTTTCTCCCTGAGCGAGGATATTGGAGGGGGGCCACAGGGGGAGCAGAGAACCCACACTCAGATCTGCGTTCTAGAAAAGCCTGTGTGGCCTCTGGGAAAGAAGTGGATTGGAGGGGCTTCAAGGGAAGCAGGGAGGCCACTCAAAAGTCTAGTGGGATCCAGTGGCCTGAGTGCGTGAAGACCGGGACCGGGCCGTGGGCGCTGGGATGGAGAGGCATTTTGGAGGGAGAACTAGCCCTGGTCGGGAGGGACTGGAGAGAGTATGTGGGTGGCTTCCAGCAGGAGCCAGGAGGCAGGGATAATACCAGGTCTCCCGCTCCTGCGACCTGGGGGATAGTGTTGCCATTTAATGAGATGGAGAAGTCCAGGGCAGAAATTGGCTGAAATTATCTAGAGGACTTCAAACACCGGGGTCTTACTGCCCTGGGCTCCAGCGAGACTAAAGTGAGAGGTGAGACCCTGTCTCTCTTCCTCCTGGCTTGGGCCGGCCTCCTGAAACTGGTTTCCGCACCAGTGTGTGTGTGGGGGGGGGGGGGGGGGGGGGGGGTGGCACAGGGAGGGAGGGCTTGGAGATCAGGCCCCAGAGCAAGTGTGGAGCAGCTAAAAACCTTTACATGGAATTTGTCTAGGCCCCCTCAGGACTGCCCTCTCTGTAATTCGTTTGGGCTCCACTCTCAGAGTGTCCAGGGTGGGCCCGCTACTCATGCCTGATGAATGGGAGATCTGGGTTCAGGAGACAGGGCCTGGGGCATGGTATGCTCCAACTCAGGCTGGGTTCCGGTCCTGCCTCTGTCTCTACTCTCCGTGCATGTTACTCCAATTCTTGCCCTCCTTTCTGGGGCTGTTTCTCCGTCAGTGAAATGCTTTGAGGCCCCTCCCAGTGCTGAGTCTCTGGTTCTGAGTTATGAGAAGCAAAGGCTGAAGAAGATTTACGTGTATGTGAGTGTGTGTGGTGTTTGTTTCTATCTTTAGAGGGCAAGGAGCTGGGACCCAGGCCTGTCGCCTCTGCCACCCTCCACTGGGAACCAAGGCTGCCACAGAAGGCTGACACCACCCTGAGCCAGCACCAGGCCCTGAGCAGGGAGAGGCGGGCTGGGCTGCCTTTGTGTAGTCCAGTCTCACCAGCCTCCACATTAATGCTGCTGTCACTGCCCAGACAGAGCCAGAGAGCACCAAGACCAGGACTGAGCGCTGGAATATCTCCAGGGCCAGCTGGCTGGCAGCTACAAGGCACAGACCTGCCAGCCAGGTCTGTCCTCTGCCTCCTGAATGGACATTTATAGCCCCTGGCTCAGCTCTGGGCAGCTGCAGAGGCAAAGGTCCCTTGGTCTCCACAATAACCAGTGCCACGAGCAGGAGAGGATAGGTTGAGTCCCAACTCCAGCCTCAGACCTGAGTCCTGTCCCCAACCCTGGGCAGAGTCCTGTCCCCAGTCCCAGGCTGAGACAGCCTCGGTCCCAGACTGAGTCCTGCCCCACAAAGTCCCACATAGGCTAGAGTGTGGCTGGCAGGGTCTTCAGTGGCAAATAGTCTCCTTCATGTACAAAGGAGGGCCCTCCATCACAGCACAAGGGAAAGAGATAAATCAAGCCACGCCAAGTTATTAACTTGCTCATTACCAAAGCTTCCACACAGGGAAGCAGCCATCTCAGTGGGTGATGAGCACCCAATATTGGAAGCCAAGGACTTCTCATCTCACACACAGCTTTCTGCAGAATAGAAGGTTGGCCTGGATTGCTCCTAATTGGGAGAGTGTATGCAATAAAGTTTCTTCTGGGAAGTGACCATTTCCGTGGCAGAGCCAAAGGCCATTCTGGATCTTGACTGGACCATTGGAGCCTGAGCACAGACCCACAGACACAAGATCTCCTGGTTTCCAGGATGCAGGGCCATTTCTTCATGGATCTTATCATTATAGGCCCTATTGTCTGTTACTCTAGATGTGACAGAGACGAAACTGCAAAAAGGAGCAGCTTTGGAACAAACTGATTTAACAGCTCACTTTAGTGTTTGCTAATAGGTAAATGAGGAAGAAATTGTAGAGAGCTAAAACTTTCCTCAACTAGATTAAGTCCAACTACAAATAAACAAAGTCTGGGACCTTTTTGCTAACTAAGGAAGCAAAGGTGGATGGAAGACCCCTGGGATGGAGGTGGGCTCCCAGGCCAGGCACTGAGGGAGAGGTATTTGGGATAGTCTGTGTGTCCCCGGGCTGGTGGGACAAGTCACAAATAAGTTCAAGGAAGTGTGACAGGTGCTGGGGAAGATACTGTGTGTCACGAGCAGCATGAGGTGAGGCAGAGGCCTCTGGCCCACCTCTGCTGTGAGCTGCAGTGGCAGTGGACAGTTCCAGGCAAGCTCAGACACACATCATTGTCCTCCATTAGGCACAGCCTAATGCCCGGCACCAAATAGGCATGCAGAACACAATGGAAACACACACAGCATCACAGACAGTCACGTGTCTTCACAGCATGGTACACATTCTCTCTTTCATCCCACCACCCAGCAAATGTCACCTGGAAAACAGGATGTAAGGGCACAGAGTCTGTCTTTGCACCTCTGAGGGGCTGTCCTCGGTCAGACTGAAGAGACAGGGAGTACACAGAGCTGGGACAAAGTTGTGGGGTTTGCTGGGAGTTACAGTGGGGCCACTGAGGGCATGGAGGCTTGGGGGAAGCCTGAAGGTGCCCCACTCTTGCCCTGTGGCATTGGGGACAGTGCCCCCAGGCCAGACACATCCTCCCCACCCCACCTCTGTGCAGGGGAGATGGCCTGGTTTGTTCATATCGAGCCATGAGACCAGGCTATGAGACCAGGAGGGGCCCTCAGCGACCTTCCAGTCGCACGTTCTCATTTACAGATGGGCAAAGGGAGGCCCGGAGGAGGAAAAGGAATCCCGCCCCCCCAGCCCCTCCTGGACCATCCTTATGTCTGCAGCAGCCCAACTGGGCTCCCGCTCTCCTCCACTGGGCAGATGGAGCGATTTCTCTACAATTAAGACCATGTCACTCCCCCTCACAAGAGTGGCTCCCCATGGCCCTCAGGATGGAGCCCACCTCTTTAGCCCTGCGGAGAACATTCTTCATGGTTGTCCATCCCTCATCCTCTCCCTCCTGCTCAACTGGAGACACCCTTTGGAATAACTTGTCATTCCCTGGAACCATTCTATTCCTCCACACCTTTGCATGTGCTGTTCCCTCTGCTGGGAAGGGCCTCATGGCTCTACACTCCAGTTAGCCTGGCCAACTCCCACTCATCCTTCAACCATTCAGCTTAGCTCTCACCTCCTCTGCCTTGTCTGGGTGGGGTGGCCCTCCTTGGTGTCCCATCTGCCCGGGGCTGTTCTATGCCACACCAAGGTTATTGGTTTTTCCACTGTCTCCTCTGCCAGGCTGTGACTCCCCGGGGGCAGGGCTGGTGTGTTCGCTAATTGGCCCCAGCACCATCAGAATGCTCCAGACCTCCCGCGCTCAGAGCCACGACTGAAGGAACAAATGCCTTGGCAGCTGCCCTGTCTCTTGGGCCAAGGATCTCTTCCCATTTGACCAGCCCTGGGGTGTGTGTGTGCATGTGTGTGTGTGTGTGTGTTGCATTGGGAAGTTATTTCAAGGGATCCTTGAGCCCATTTGGACCCTTATACTGCCTACGGACCAAATAACTAATATGTCTTACTATATACGCCCTATTAGATGCCTCTGTGATGAATAAAACAGAAATAACCCATTTAAAGCCTGCCTGAAGTCTCTTGTGATTATGTCTGTTTTTCCTTTATTTGGACCTCAAGGGCACACAATTTAATTGGTCACAGCCTTTGATTCATGACCCCCTGTCATCATTAGCCCACACATGGCCTAACTTTATTGTATTGCAGTCTTATTTTCCATGGAAGTTTATACGTAGTAGTAAATATAGTGAATCTGTCACCTAATCCGAAACTAGACCATTACCAACCACTCACATATTTATCCACATGCTCCTGCCCCAGAGGGAACATTCTCTGGAATATCATGTTTATCATTCCCTTGCTCTTATTGTTTTTTCAGTTTTATCACATGGATGTATGTCTAAGCAATAGATTGTTTGGTTTTACTTGTTTTTGAGCTTTGTTAGTCATTATGCATTTTTTCAATCAGTGGACACTAAAAAGGAGATCACTACCACCATGTGGGGACCTGAGAAACGATTCCTGAAGTCTAAGGGCATCCCAGTAGCCTATTTGGGGCCTGGTTAATGAAGGATGCCGTGTTCCCATGGCGGCTGCCAGGCAGCATCACCAACAACGCGCTGGATGAACATTTCATGACATGGGGAACATTTAACGACTCTGAGTTACAAGAGGAGAAAGCAGCTTACAAAATTGTGAACATAGCAGCATCCCAGTTTTGTGGAAATTAAAAAAAAAAAAGAAACAACATGAGGCTCTATGGATTGATAAACTCCTGGGGGATAGAAATGTTATAAAAATTCCTGGGTTGTGGCAAAATGAGTACTTCGTGTCTTCTTTCATTTTTAAAAACATTTTTTCCATATTATATATATAATATTCTGTTTGTAAACAGAAAAATGATATTACAAGTTAAGCAGGGGAGGCTTTGTGTTTGGAGAAGTTGGGACCCTCTCCCCTAGACTCAGAGGAGGGGAGGATGGGGTACCATCCATCAGGGGTCACAGGAAGGTGAGGGTCTGTGCCACATGCTGCAGGGGAGGGGAGGGCAGGGAGAAGGTGGTGGGTCTGCTTGTGAACGAGTGCTGCCTCTGAGAGCAAAGAGCTCTGGTGAGGGGAAGGTTGGGCCCTCCTGAAATAGGGGGCCTCCATTTCCTGCTGCTCGACATGGCCCATGCTGGGGTCTCCATGGTCTCTTGTTCAACCTTCACAGTAAGCCCCTAAGGTCGACTTAGCCCCGTTCCTAATGGATGAGGAAACTGAGGCTCAGACGGTGTTATGGGTTGAATTATGTCCCTCAAAATCCATATGTTGAAGTCCTAGCCCCCAAGACCTCAGAATGTGGCCTCTTTCGGAGATAGGTAATTAAGCTAAAATGAGGCCATTAGGGTGGGCCCTAATCCAATGAGACTGGACTCCTCGTAAGAAGGGAGATTAGGACACAGACATGCACAGAGGGAAGATAAAGACACAGGGAGAAGACGGCCATCTATAAGCCAAGGAGAGAGGCCTCAGAAGGAATCAACCTTGCCGACACCTTGATCTCAGACTTCTAGCCTCCAGAATTGTGAGAAAATACATTTCTGTTGTTGAAGCCACCCAGTCTGTGGTACTTTCCTGCAGCCCTAGCAAACTGACACAGATGCATTAGGTGACTAGTCCAGGGTCGCACTGCTGCTGGGTGGAGGAGCTAGGATCCAGACTCGGGTCTGACCCCAACACCTGAGCTCGTGACCATGCCACTGTAAGGAGGGCAGGCAACAAAGGCTTTCCTCTTTGAGGTGCCACTCAGGCTGTGTTTGGTGCTGGGTCCCAGTGTTGACTAGCACCCTTGTCTCCTTGTGCCCTGGCAGCAGCTCCGGGTCCCAGGGGCACCTCCCTACCCCATCTTCCTCCTTCCCTGCTGCTTCTATGGATGCAGACCTGAGAAGGCCAGGACACTGGGTGGGGCCCTGGGGACATCTCTCAGGAGCCCGGGGCCGTGAGAGCCCAGGGCTGTTCTGAGCTCTGCAGCGGCTGACTCTGACTCTGAATCAGCCGCCAGGAAACTCTGAGACGTCAGAACCCAGGGGCCCGGCTGCTGCTTCGCCCGCAGGTCCTTAACCAGGAGGTGACGCTTGTAGCTACGGCAACCTGCGAATGTGTTTTACACCTTCTGCTGGCCTCGCTCAAGTTTGAAAGCAGAGGGGCGTCCCCTCCTCAGGCTCTTGAGTGCCAGCCCAGCTGCTTCCTTTGTGTGCGGAGCAGAGAGCTGGGAGAGGGAGCTGGGAGCTGGAGGAAGACTCCCTGCCAAGCCCTTCATCACCAGTGAAGAGCCTGAGCCCCACCTGGGGAAGGAGCCTGCCCAAGGACGGAGACAAGAGCTGGGACGGGAAGCCAGTCACTGTCCACCCCCACGGAGCTTGCGCTGGCCCAGGAGAGCTGTTTCCTCCCCCAGGTCCCGAGGCCCACCCTCATCTCCTGGGGTCCGCTGCAGGGTGGTGGCAGGGGCTTGCGTACCTGAGATGTTGGCGAGGGTCGTGACCGCATGGCAGTACTGCTCCAGCAGGGCCCACAGGGGCTGCTCTCTGGATGCCTGGCTGGACCCAGCTGCCTAGGGGATAGGAGGGATGAGGGTCAGAGGTCAGGCCCTGGCTAGCCATTGACAGCACATGTCTGTCCCCCCTGCCCTGTTCTCACCCTTCCCCTATTCCTCCCAAGACCACTATATTTCCTATTCCGTGACCAGTGTGTGTGCGAATGCACGAATTTGTGCACTAGTGCATGTATATGCGAGATGACTTGGTGTGCCCCTCTCAACCTTGACATTCCTAATTCCAGAATTCCAAAAGACACTGCCCCACCAGTGGGCAGCCCCCCACCCCCACCCTGCCCTGCTTCCCCTGCCTGTCAGGTGTTCCCTCCCTGGCAGCTGGATCAATGTTTGCCCCAGGATGTCCCTAGGGCCAGAGCCTGCCAGGCCTCAAACATCACGTTCCCCACATAGGCTCGGTCCATTTCCTGTGCTGAGGCCGGAGGCCACATGCTCTGCCTCACCACGCTGGCCTGGAGCTCCTAATTAATGACCCCACCTGGCCAGATAGGACAGCACAGTCCCCTGTCCCTGGAGAGTCCCGGGCGGCACAGACCCCACTTACAGGCACTCACTGCACCTGGAATCTGCCAACTCTGCCCACAGTGCAGGGTGCAGAGGGAGTGCAGGGAAGCAGGGGCGTATGCTGTGTGTGTGTGAGGCGTATGTGTGTGGTGTGTGCATTATGTCTGTGTAGCGTGTGTGGTTGTGTGTATGAGTAGTACGTGTACAGGATGTGCAGTGTGTGTCTGTGTGTGGTGTATGTGTGCATGTGTCTGTGTGTACTGTGCGTGGTGTGTGTGTGCATGTGTCTTTGTGTAGTGTGCATGGTGTGTGGGGTGTGTGTGTGTAGTGTGTGTGTAATGTGTGTATTTGGCTGCTTTAAGGGGCTTCCTGAGCCGTGAGCTGGGAGCTCTGGCCTCTTGGCATGCAGGACAGGCACTGGGGGCCATGGTCTTGCTGTTCACGTGTCCCAGGGCCTGCCAGGAGCTCCTCACCATCAGCTTCCTGGGCATCAGGAAGGCCTTGCTGGCCCAGTGAGCCCCCGGCCACCAGGTGAGGTGGGCTGGGGAGGGGAGGGGATTCTCTGGGTCCTGGATCTTCCAAGAGGAACTGAGACCCACCCAGCTGGGTCTGGGGAGAGTGTGGGCCCTAGGCCTGGCTCCGCACCCCCTTACCAGCCCCCTTCCTCTTGTCTGAGAAGAAGCTAGTAACGCCCTCCCTGGGGGCACTGAGTTCCCAGGGAGTCGCCAGCCTCTGGAGGTCATGGCAGAGGCAACGCTCAACCCAGAGGCATGCAGTGTTGACAGTGGACCCTCAGGCCGACCAGATTTTGCATCTTAGATGCAAGTTCCTTCTCTCAAAGCCCTCAACTGCCACACTATGACCCTGTCACTCAGGTATTTCATGTTCAACCTTGGGGGAGTCTGAACATCTGGCTCGGAAGCCATGGAGTGGAGTCAGGGCACCCTCCCCCAGGACTCAGGCATGGCCGGGCTGTCCTTGTATCAGACACTGTGGTCTGAGGCTGTGGCTGAGCCTCCTTGCTGAGCAAAGTGCTGGAGCCCAGATCGCTGTGCTCAGCATCGATGTGTGCTGCTAGAGCCTGGGCAAAATGGGCAAGCGGATCTTGGAATAACTCCCAGATCTGAGCTCCATCTCCTGTAACTTCTCTGCTGGTCCAATAAGCTGGCACAGCCAAAGACACTCATTCTCTTCAAGGGGATGGTTGGGTGGATTTGACTTAGTTCAAACCCACAAGATACCCTGGAGGTGCCTATTTTGGGCAGAGCTGCTGCTGGTGGTGGTGGTGGGTAGGCAAGGAGGAGGAGGAAGAGGCCGCTGCCCTCAGAAAGTGCATGGTGGGCCAGGGAAGGCAGAGACACAGCCATGAATAACTACACCCCAAGATCTGGGTGACGAGATCTCGAAATGGGGAGACTGCAAACATCCCCATGTTCAGGGCTCTGTGGATGCTGCTTCTTAGCTTTGTGGTCTTGGCTAAGTTACTTAACTTCTCCGAGCCTTGGCCTCCTCATCTTTAAAATGGGGATAATACGAACCCCACAAGGTTTTTGTGCGCATTAAACAAATTACCATATGTCAAGAGAAAGCATGTGTTAAATGGTGGCTCTTGTCAAGGACTTTAGGAGGGGTCCAGTTAGAGAGCTCAGAGATGGAGGGTTCAAGCCCCCTTGTGGGGAGTCCCAAGGTCCAGCTCAAACCCGTCGCCTCCAGAAAAGCTTCCTAGAAACCCTGTGTTCCTCCTTCCCCAATTTTCCAGATTCCCCTCGGCCCGCAGCAACCCTCCCGTGGACACTGGGCCCCCAAAGACGCAGCCTGCACCCCCTCACTGGGCTCACCGCTCCGCAGTGCTCAATGAGTGCTGGGTGAGGAAACTGGGGGCTCCATGGAGGACTGGGCACTGGAGCTGAGTCCAAGAGGATGGAGGACTTGGTGCAAGGCAGAGTGAAGGGTGAGAAGAGAAGAAAGGGGTCCCAGGGGCAGGAGCTGAGCAGGAAAAGCTGGGAGGCTGGCAAGCGCAGGGCCTGCTCAGGGAACAGCAAGCCTCTGGCTTGAGGATGCCATTAAGAGGGTGGAGGGAGGCAGGGGGAAGGAGCAGCGTCTTTGATGTGAAGTCGGCACTGACTATGTGCTAGACACAGCTCTAAATGCTTGACGACAGCTCAGTTAGTCCTCACAACAGCCTCTGAGGTAGCTGTGAATAACCCCACTTTACAGATGAGGCAACTGAGGCCCAGAGAGGCGAAGTTACCTCGCAAGGCCACACGGTAGGGAAGGGGCAGAGACAGGACTGGGCGGACAGTCTGGTAGGTTGTGGCTTGGTCAGATACACACAGAAGAGCTGGTCCTGGGTGAGGAAGTGATGGCCTGTGGTCCATGGATGCTGAGAGGACCCCAGCCCCAAACCAGGTGGCTGTGGGTCTTGGGAGGCCACTCCAGTGAGGAGCCGCTCTCACCACAGCAGAGTGGGGGCCTCTAGGCAGACAGCGGGGTCAGAGGAGGAGCGGGGGCAGACCCAGCCAGCCAAGCAGGGCCTTATACAAGGGAGAAGTTTGGGTTCTACAACGTCCGAGCCCCCTGGAGACCTCATTAATCTCTCTTCTGAGGGAGACATCTTGGACTTCTGTACTGCTCAGCTCTTGGCTGTCCCAGGGACCAAGAGCTGCTCCCCACCCCTCACACCTGCCCCATGAAACTACAGGCTGCAGGAGCTCAGAGACCTCATCTGTCTGGCTCACATCCATGTCCCCAGTTCCTGCTCCAGAGCCTGGCACACAGCAGGTGCTCAATAAATGCTTGTTGGCTGACTGGATAGATGGATGAGACCATGGACCCTGCAGCCAGGTATAGCTGCACCCCTGCCCCCAATCCTGGGAGCTCAGGTTCTGGCCTTTCCTCCTTGTCAGATTTCCTTCTCTCTAAATTTTCGATGTGAGGTCAGCACAGGTCCTGGTTCCGGCCTCTGTGTGCCTGGAATTGGAAGAGCGCATGGCAGAGACCCTGGCAGGGAGAGGAGGCAGCAGGTCAGAGCGAAGATGTCAGCTGTCGTTCCTCCACCTTGGGCCCTGTCCAGGCAGAATCTGTGCCCCAGGGGCCAGGCAGGCCCCAAGGTGCCACCTCCCTGGAGCCAGGAGGTCTGGCCCAGCCTAGTGCTCCCTCCTGGCCTTGTGACAAAGCTTTGTCTAAATTTAGCCCCTGGTCCATGCCTGGGAGCTTTATGGGACCACAGGTCCTGTGGCCGGGCTGCCAGGAACCAGAGGGGAATGGGGTGAGCTCTCTTCCTGCCTCTCCCTCTGCCCAAGGTCAGAGAAGGACTCATCCGGAGGGAGAGGATGCCTCCCCACTGTTTTCTTTCCTTCATTCGTTTCCTTTAGCCTCAGCTAGGGATGGAGGAGGAAGCAGCTCAGGCCCTGCCTCAGGGAAAGAGGAGGAGACAGGGCAAGAGGAGAGGGGACCGTGGAGAGCTGGAGAGCAGGAGATGGAGAGGAGAGAAGGAGAGGAAGAGGAGGGAGGATGGGGAGAAAGGAAGGGGAGGAGGAGGTGGAGGGGAGGAAGAGGGAGGAAGATGAAGAGGAGGCAGACACAGAGGAGGCTGAGGCTGGCTGAGGCAGAGGGTGAGGGACTGAAAGTTATATGAAGGATATAACTTCCTTCATATATGAAGAATCATGATAGGTAATGATTTCTGATACATCTGGGCAGGCGTCCTGGAAGGGGAGACTTTAGATACTCGGTTCTAACTTATTGGGTGCTGGATGTCAAGTGAGGACCCCAAGAGCCTGCAGCAGCTTCCAGCAGGCTCTCCTACCCCTGAATCTCTGCTCTAGCAGGTCCCTCTTCCTAAGACGCCCCACTTCCCTTCCAGCCCTAATTCAGCCTCCATCTTGCCTGGAGAAACTTCCAGGCTTCTCCTTATCATATGTTCTTTCACCTCTGGAAACCCATGGCTCCCTCTCTCCTCTGTCCCTCTCCCCTTACCTGTGTCAAGCCCTGGGCCCTGCACACAGCCATCTGGGGGGGGAGGGCACCCAGGCAGATGCAGGAGGAGGGAGGGACTACCTTGGCCCAATAAAGGGGGCGGGGCTGGCCGGCAAGAGGCCCTATAACAGGTCACTAGGCCTAAAATTATCTCAATTATCAACTCATTGAATGTCCAGTTTGCCAAAAAGTTATCCCTTTCTGATTTGTTTTGGCATTTGTCTGAGTGTCCTAATTAAATTTTTGTGAAGAGAAGGGAATCTGGATTAGGCTGTGTGGTTTGAAGCTGGTCCCTGTGACTTACCAGCTGAGTGACCTTGGGCACATGACCTTGCTTCAGCTTCTTATCTGTAAAATGGGGATAACGATGGTCTTAGCCCCTAGGGTTAGTGTGAAGCTAAAATAGGTAATGTATGTCAGTGCCTAGAACAGTGCTGAGCATGTGGGAGGCCTGCGTAGCTGCTAAATAGAATAAACAAAATAAGCTTATTGAACAGTCTATCCTTTCCTCCGGTGGATTGAAATGACATCTTAAAAAATTAGAATTTTGAATAAAGTGACTTTAGACAAACCGGTTGAGGAGTCCTAAAAATTGTTAAAATTAGATAAAGTAGAAAATGACAGCTAAGAGGATATAGAAGAGTCCCGTAATTGGTAAAGTGCTGTAAATTGGAGACTTACTAAGAATACAAAATTAAGTAGGTAATGCGCTCAGACAAATTGGTTTTTTAAAAAATACTTAAACATCTACAAAATGGCAAAAACAGAGAGACTAAATTAGCTGATTAGGTTAGAAAACACTCAGAAAGTAGTTGAAGTTTTGGAAAAAGTCGTTAGATGAGTTAGCTTCTGGCAAATGGCCCTTGAGCCGCCCACCCAGCAGACCCTGGTGTGTGGGGGTATGTGCAGGGCCCTGGCCTTGGTCTTGGGGAGGGCCATGCAGGTCAGGAAGGTTCCAGGCTTCTGGGGCCCCGGGCCCTGGCGGGGATTTCTCTCTTTGCTGAGGCTTCTCAGGACAGATGGCCCCGCCCAGAAGCCCGGACTTGGAGCAGGAGGCCACAGAATTGCTGTCCTGAGACCCTGGGGTCATCGGGGAGTATCTTGCTGCCCCTCAAAGGTCCAAGGGGCTGGACCCAGCCAAAAGGGGCTGGTAGACTCCTGGGATCTTCACAGAGGAGGAGGCAAGCAGCTCGAAAGGTTAGAATGGAGGGTTTTGGAATCCAGCAGCCACATTCCTCAGCCTCACTGAACGTCTGTTTCCATCTGTAAATAACCGATCCACTTTCCCGATGTTTTAGTAAAGTGCTTAGCACAGCACTGGGTGCCCAGGGCAGGCTGCATGATTACAGCGCTGCCCCCAAAGCAGCTTCCCAAAGGCCTCAGAGGGCACCCCGAGAGCACCAGGGTCAAGGCTTGGCTCCTCCGGGCTCTTGCGGTGTGGGCTGGAACAGGGTGCAGGGTGTCCTCCCCACCCAACCACCAGCTGGAACTTCCCCAATTGCAGATTAGGTCAGGCCCTTCCCCTCCACACCCTTGGGCTAGAAATCGGAGCCCACTAGGGACCCACCATGCCCCCTGCAGCCTCACACCATCTCTTCTCAGGGTCGGGGCTCCGGGGCCTTCCCCGCTGCCTGCTCTCCCCTCAGCCCTCCTCTCCGACCATCCCACGGCCACCCCTGCCATCCTGCCCACCTGTCAGAGGCTCTCACACTTGCACACGCTTTTTCTTAGTTCCCGTGGCCAGAGTTTGTAAATACACACTTAATTCTTCGCCATTATTTTCTTCCTGCCAGGGTCTCCTTCTAGGCTATGACTCCATCGGGTGGGTGTTTTCACCCTTGTGTCCTCACCGCCTGGTCCTCCTTAAGCACTGAGTGAATAAATGAGAGGGCTGGAGGCCAGGCCCCTCCTGGGTCACCTTCCCTCCCCACCACCTGCTCTGGAGCAGAAATCTCAGAATAGTTGGACCAGGACCCAGAAATAAATCCCATTACCATGAAGGCTCAGAGCAGGGAAGGCTGCGCTTTGGGGCCAGAAAGACCGCAGATTAGTTCCTCTCTAGCTGGTTACATGATGAGTAACTAGTCTCTTGTCTCAGACTGGGGTCATGGAGGGAGCTAGGGGCAGGGCCTGGGCTGATTCTAAAGGGAGTTTAAAGGGACTGTTGCCTCTGAAGTTCCCGGTTCTGGCGTCCCCAGAACTCAGGGTACCCTGCCACAGATCCCTTCTGCCTGGCCTTGCTCTGGAGAGCAACCAGAAGCCCTCTCCATCTAACCAGCTTGGGCGGCCAGCATCATAGCCTCCAGAGGGGAGGGCCGAGGGGCAACCCGGGACCTAACACCCAGCTCTCTTGGAAGGCACACACCCTGGGAATGAGTGGGAGGGGACAAAAAGAGCTTAAAGCCCAGGACCTGGGGGTGGTGGGTGGGGGGTGGGGGTGAATCCACCGCACAACCTCCCCCCAAATACAGTCTGCAATGTCACTACAAGGGCCTGGCAGGTCTAGGGGCAGCCTGACCATCGGGGCACTGACCACACCTCAGCATGGTGCCCACCCTTCCCCTCCACGTGACCAGACCCCCTGGGAGGGCAGGGCCCCTGGTGTGGTCACACTTAATCTCTAGTGCCGGGCACAGAACCATAGCTGCATTTACCGAGTGCTTGCTCTGTGCTGGGCATGGTGCTAAGAGCTTTCCTTGTATATCTCATCTGTTCCTCACAACAGCCCTATTCAGTAAGCACCAACACCATCCCCATTTTACAAATGAGGAAACTGAGGCTCGGAAAATTTGAGTAATGTGTCCAAGGTCACACGCTAAGCAGCAAAGCAGGGATTTGAATAAGGTCTGTCGGAAAAGCCACTTTGCCACAGTCACTGGATGCTTGCTACCTGTCTTGAATGAATATTGAATGAATGAGTCCTCGGTGTACATATGGGGACATCGAGGCCCAGGAAATGGGCCCCAAGGCTGGTCTTTGTTGGAGTGGGGACAGGACTAGGCCTCCTGACTTCCAGCCTGGCTCTGTCCCTGGCATTGTGTGGTCTCCGGGCCCCTCTTTGCCCTCTGAACCCTTTTAATGCCGTGGCTCTTCATGAAAAGTGGGGCCTAGGACAGGTTGCTCTCTCTGAGCCTCAGTTTCCCCATCTGTAAAATGGGGAGAGGGTTAGAGGGAGATTCCTCCCGCATCTGTTTCTGGAAATCACTCCCTCTCAGCCTCACTTCCCTTCTTCAAAAGCTCCTTCCTTATAGCTCCTCTCCATCCCTTTGCTCCAGCCCCCACCTGCAGACCCGGACTCTGGGCAAAGGGCACCCACAGTTTTGAGAAACCACCCCCGTGCTCCCTCTGCCCCATTGCTCATTTGGTACTGGGGTTGCCTGGTTTGAGACACTAAGAAGAGGGTGAGGACAGGGTGCAGGGGATGGGGGCAGCTCTCTGGGGGTCCACTGGGAGGAAGGGCCAGAACTGGGGTGGGGTGAGGAAGAGACTTGAGGCTCCTGCAGGGGATATGGAGAAGGATCCATGAAGGAGGGGACAGAATGGACAGGGAAGAGGGAATTTGTGGACCCGAGGAAGGGCGTGTCATGGATGCTAGGGCGTCACTCAGAACGCTCTGCTCATCCACAAGGGTCTCCCTGTCCTATCCCAGTCGTGTTCGAGTTCCCTCTCCTCTCCACCTGCCCCCCTCCCTAGGCAGGAGATCTCCATCCCATGATCCGCACAGGGATCCCCAATCCCAACCCGGCGCACAAGCCCACCCAACTCATAACAGGGCTGAGTGAAAAGGCCGAGGAAGCGAGCACCAAGACTCCCTCCCAGCCCCTAGTCCTGAGAGCACGGAGCTCCAGCTCCCGGCGCCCCCACCCTGAGATCCGACCCCCACTCCCCGCACTTACTTCGAGCAGCGGCAGGAGGAGGCAGAGCAGGCAGAGGAGAGGGTGTGGGGCGTGGAGGAGGCGCGGGGGCCCCGCGGGACCCCCCATGCCCCAGCGGCTAGGGACCGGAGCACACCTCCCAGCGCGGCTGTTCTGCCCCGCCCGCCGCTCCCCCGGGCCACAGCCGCATTGGCCTCCTCCCTCCCCACCGGCGGAGCAGGCCAAGGTAAGGCCCTGGGCACAGGGGGTACTCTTCCTCGCCCCCTCCCCCAAGGCAGCGGTGACACCGCCCCACAGCCCGCCCCTCCAGGTTATTTATAGCGGGCGCTGGGCAGCTGCTTCTGCCCCAGCAGCCAGGGGCCAGACTCTGCCTCCCGCCTGCAGAGAAGGGGTTAATGCCTTCATCCGCCACCACCTTTGCCAGGGCTGTAGCTACCCACCGCCGGGAGAGAGGAATAGAGAATGGGGGCAAGGAGTCTCGCTGTGGCTGTGGCCAGAGCATAGGTGGGCTGGGTGGGTCTCATCCTCACCAGGTGTCCCAGCCCTGCAGGCATGTTCTGACTGTCTGGGGTGCTTTCACCGGGCACCAGTGCCCACCGGGACGCTTGCAAGTTGAATGTGGATGCCGGATTAAATAACTGTATCAGTGTTCAATTTCCCAGTTTTGATAACTGCACTGTGGGTAGGTAAGAGAATGTTTCTGTTCTTAGGAAATACACATTTAGGGCTAAAGAGGCAGCCTGTTTGTAACTTATTTTCAAATGCTTCAGAAATATACACACAGATATACATATATAGAGAGAACAATAAAACAAATGGGGCAAGAAACAATCTGTAAATCTGGGCAACGGGGATGTGTGTATACTTTGGATTATTCTTCCAACTTTTCTTTAAATTTGAAATAAAATGCTAAAAATAAAAACCCCAAACAACCATGACAACAAATGCAGCAGTGCCAAGCCCCACCCAGAGATTCTGGTTTCATAGGTTGGGGTGGGACCCAGGCACTAGTATGTTTCAGTAAATTTGCCCAAGGATCTTTATGTCTGGCAGGGCTGAGCAGTGTTGATCTTGGGTGGGGAAAGTTCTAACCTGGGGCTGGGTCAGGGCTCAGGAGGTGAGGCCTGTTCTGGGGGGGCCTCTGGAACTATTCCAACAGGTGGGCCTGGTGCAGGGTGTTTAAAAACTTACGCAGCATTTCCAGCGTCGTCGTCGTTAGGATCTGAGGGGAAAGCATTTGAGGAATGCGATTAGTGGGGCGCTGAGCTTTTCCTGGAGGGTGCAGACAAGGTGGGTACAGGTCCCGGAGAACTCAGCCCGAGTTCAAGAAACTCAGACACTGTGTTCACTCTAGTCTGTCTGCCGGGGACACTTTTCTGTCCCTCAGGTCCTCCTCCCCTCCACCTCCTTCCTCCAAGCAGCCTTTCCTGACTGTTCCCACATCGCCCTCCCCTGAAATCTCACAGGCTTGAGCCTGAGCCTCTGGCTCCTCCCCCTACCCCCATGTGGACTGTTCTCTAACTGCCCCTTGGATGAGGCTGGTGGTCTCCAAACAGCTTGGTGGGGGAAGGCACTCCTGAGGGTAGAGCCCTGGTCTCTCCCTCCTCTTTTTATCTTTTCCCCTCCCTTCTCTGTTGCACAGAGCCACTGGGGATATGTGGTGCAAGGGAATCTTTATGGGAAAAGTTGAGGAAGTGTTGACCAGATCTCCCCATTCATTTGAAGATGATGGGGTGGAACTTGATCAGAGAGGATCCTGGCGGGAGATGACCACTCAGCCAGACTTTGATGGATGTGTAGGTTCAGAAAGAGTTGATGGGTCAGCATGAGGTCCAACAGTTCTCTTCAGCATGTGTTCCTGGAGTGTCTCCATGGCCAGCCTCACATGGACGCTGTGAAGCAGAGAGCAGAGGCTGGGACCTCAAGGCCAACCTTGTAGACTGTGGGGAGTGTGCCAGCAGAGGGAAGGGATGTGGAGCCCGTGAGATCTGGGCACAAGTAACTGCGATGGGAGGTAAGAGGTAGCACAAATGCTGGGGCAGCTCAGGGCAGTGAGGGAGGGGGCTTTGGGGGGGAAAAATGCTGCAGGAGCATCATAAAGAATTTAAACAGGCGGAGAAGGGGACACCTTTACTCTGGATGGAGGAGTCAGGGTGAGCAGAAGCAGGAGCTAGGCAAGTGCAGGCTGGCTCAGCCGGGGGTCTGGCTGAGGCTGGGACAGTGTAGGGCCAGGAGTGGGGGACAGACTGGACGAGATCTAGTTCTAGGAAGATCTACGGAGCAGGTACGTTGGTGATGGCCGGATTCCTTGCTGGCAGGGCTTTCCCTGTGCTTCCAGATCCATCCCCTCCTCCCCGACCTGGAACACTCTTAGGAAGACTGCCCTTGGACAACTACAATTGCTTTCTGCACCAAGGAGGGGATCCCCAGGTACCCAGGAGTTTCCCCAATCCCCAAAGGCATGCCTAGCCGTTGACTGGCTGGTGCTCCTTTGCCTGGAGGTGGATGAACTCCAGGTGTAATTAACACCCGGGGGCCCTGCGGGGTCAGGGGAGGCTAGGACTTAGCTTGGCATATCTCACTGCTGCCGGACTTCTTTTTCTGTCCTGGTTTGCCCCCTCTCTTACCAGTCTCTCCTGGGAACATTTCCTTTACAAATCGCAGCAGGCGAATCCTCATCTCATCCTGAAAAACCTGACCTAGGGGAGCCTGGAAAGTCAGGGAAGTCTGGACTTGACCCCTCTAAATGCAATAGGTTCAAAACAAACAACAACAACAGTAAAAAACATACACAACCCTTGAGCCTCTGGGATGTCCTCTGGACAGCCCTTCTCAGCTTTCAGGGGCTGCTGATGTTGGAAGACACCCTGCCTACAACTGTGATCTGGGCGGGCTAATTAAAATTGTCGTTCCAGAGCCTGCCCGGTGACACCGCGGTTACGTTTGCGTACTCTGCTTCGGCGGCCCGGGGTTCGCCAGTTCGGATCCTGGGCGCAGACCTACGTACTGCTCATCAAGCCATGCTGAGGCAGTGTCCCACATAGAGAGGCTAGAAGGATGTACAACTATGACATACAACTATCTACTGGGACTTTGGAGATTAAATAAAAAAGGAAAAAAGTGGGAAGATTGGCGACAGATGCTAGCTCAGGGCCAATCTTCCTCAAAAAAAAAAATAAAAATTGTCATTTATCAGCTTTGTGTGCCTAAGGGCAGACTCCAGGGCAGAGGAGCCTTTTTATTTTTGAAATGCCTTCATGACCCTTATTGGTTATGAAAGACCAACACAGGGTGGTCTACCAGGGAGGTGGGTGATTTGCTTTGTAAAGTGTGGAAATTCCTAGATCTGGCTTGGCACGCAAGATGGCAAAGGGGTAGAAGGGCTAGGATCTGGGCTGGGGGTTGTCCCAGGGACTTAGAGGGAAAAGAGGGGGCAAGGACTGCAGGGCAGGCCAGGTCTGAGGAAGGATGGGCTGGAAGGGCTTCCCTGAGGTGTGAATGGTCAGTGAACGTTAGCAACGGGGCTGTGATTATCCTCCACTCTCCTCCATCTTCAGCACGAGGCCACAGTACAGGACAGCCTGCGTCATGTGCTTGGGGAATGAGGAGGAGGTGCTGCACCCGCGTACGGATCGAGGGCTGGAGAGGAGTCAGCAGCTGCAGGAGGTGGGAGGATGTACTGGACATTTCTTTGTTTTGTCCAGAATGGTCCTGTCCTTCTGAGAGATGCTCCATCCTCTACTCCAGTGTTTCTCAACATTTTTTTCATTATTAGCACCCTCCTGAAGGAGGCTTTTTAATTTTTTTCCTAATTGCCCTCCCTGCTATGAAATTGTAATCCCACAGACATACTGTATATCTGGTTATGTACTGTGGTTCTTTGGAGGACCACAAACCATTGTAAGATCTAAGATTGTTCTGCCCTCCCGGAACTGCTTTGTGCCTCCTTGGGGGCATTATTCCCCTCCTTGAGCATGCCTGCTGTACTCCAACCATGTGATTTGATTGGCAGTGGGTCACTGTGGATTGGCCCAATGCCATCGACCAGGCCGGACAAAGGAGAGGACCTCACGCGATGACTACAGTTGGTTGGTACAGGAAGGGACAGCTGATCTGAACCAACTCAATCAGAGTCCCTCCCTAGGATTTTAAAACTTTGCATCAAAGAGAGAGACCATTCCTCTCTCTTGGAGAAACTGAGAGATGCCAAGTGCAGCAGCTGCGTGGCTGTTGGCTGCTGTTTGGAGAAAGCCAAGCTGGAGGAATGAGCTTCCACACTCCAGAGGGGAGCAGAGAAGAGAGGCCTCTGAGGCTCTGGTTCCTGGCCAGCCAGAAGCACGCTTTGCCTCTGCCCCGGGTTAGGGAGTTCTCCAATGAATCTTCCCTGATGCCCGAACTAGTTTGAAGTGTGTTTCTGTTTCTCACTACCTTAGGAATTCTAACCAACACAGAAGGGATCAGGAATTGAACAGGAGTAGAATTCATCATAAAAGGTGACCAGGAAAATGGAAGACACTCCATCCCCGTGTTTGGGGACTAGAACTGTTGGGGAGAGCCCAGACTTTTCTGTAAATCTAATGGGCTCGGGGCAATTGGGTCACTGTATGTGTCTATGAAAGGAAAGGGTGACTTTGGAGGACTGAGGTTCTTAAGGACACTTGCGTTGCATGTGTCTCTGAGCAGGGGAGGGACAGGGTTGGATCTACGTTCTAGAAGGCTTTCTTGAGCAGCAGGGTGGTCTTGGGTTGGAGATGGCAAGTCTGGAGTTAAAGAGAGAGCAGAGCAGCTGGTACAGCAGCCCAGGCAAGAGAGAAGATGGCATCTCAGTTGGAGTGGGGTCTGAGGGAAAGGTGGGGCCTGTTTCACAGAGGGGACATCAGCCAGACTCTTTGTCCTGCCTTGTGGGACCACCACACTAACCCCATCTCTCATCTGGGACTGAGGCTGCTCAGACCAGATGCCAGAACAGATGGGGGGGAGCTCCCCTCCCCCACCTTACGGCAAGGTGACATCTTGTCCCCAGGTTTGTGAGGCTATGTCCTTATTTTAGCTGTGGTGACACCTGTTTAGCCTCAGTTTGGCAGACTGCTCATACTGCTTTTTGATGCAATTTCAGAACACAATTTTACAGCATTTCCAAAACAAC